GAGAGAGAGAGAGAGAGAGAGAGAGAGAGAGAGGACCAGAATGAATGTAGAATACAATGGAGAGCTCGAATAGTGCGGGAGCTGTGGAGTGGCAGCTATTTTGTCAATGCATTCAATCCCCAGAATTAGTCCTAAAAAGCGCTGATTGTCTGAAAGGACTAATTCATTGATTATGTCGAACACCAAAAGACATCAAATAGTTGTCAAAAATTGTTATTTGCTGTCATTTTATTCATATATCAGTCACTAAATCGTATTCTTTGGCTAAATATTTATATTTCCTCCTAAATATGAAAATAAAGTATTTTTTTAAATATAATGTTTTATAAAATATTCGATATGTTTTTGTACAGTAAACCAAAAAGTTGTGAATTAAATCATTTTAAAAAACAAAGCAAATGAAATTACAATTACGGACTTTGTAAACAAATCTAAAGCCAGTCAATGATTGGCAATCATAGTCTAAAATTTAGACTCTAAATACACACTAAAATATTATGATTAATACTTTTAATAATAATAAGAACTCATTAATCGAAAGACATTATGAAATTGAAATACATAAATGGTAAATGCATAAATTTTAAAATCATTGCAAATCTACTGGACTTGAAATGAGAATATTTTGGTTGATTTAATTGATCACATCATAGAGAATATAGTAATCAATTAGAGTTTGTTCACAACGGCATCCATTAGGGGGAAGGACTCATCCACTGCTCCCAAACTGATGGTTAATTTGATTTTCTAAGGACTAATTCATTGATTATGTCGAACACCAAAAGACATCAAATAGTTGTCAAAAATTGTTATTTGCTGTCATTTTATTCATATATCAGTCACTAAATCGTATTCTTTGGCTAAATATTTATATTTCTTCCTAAATATGAAAATAAAGTACTTTTTAAATATGTTTTATAAAATATTCGATATGTTTTTGTACAGTAAACCAAACAGTTGTGAATTAAATAATTTTTAAAAACGAAACAAATGAAATTACAATTACGGACTTTGTAAACAAATCTAAAGCCAGTCAATGATTGGCAATCATAATCTAAATACATACTATATTATGATTAATACGCTTAAAAATAATAAAAACATTATGAAATTGAAAAGAATGCATAAATTTTAAAATCATTGCAAATCTACTGAACTTGAAATGAAAACATTTTGGTTGATTTAATTGATCACATCATAGAGAATATAGTAATCAATTAGAGTTTGTTCACAACGGCATCCATTAGGGGGAAGGACTCATCCACTGCTCCCAAACTGATGGTTAATTTGATTTTCTTCCCATTTATGTTAAGTTAACTTCTTCTCCACATTCAGTGGTGTTTTTATGTTTCGCTAAACGCTAAATGATTTCCCCCTTTAAACGCAAACAACTATTTTCTGTGTTTAATAAACTCAATTAAAACATTGTAATAAAGCGTTGACTCGAGAATTAATTAATTAATTGCTGTTAGAAGTTATTTCATAGCCTTTCAATTGCTGTTATAATGAATTTGTTAAACATTAATGAATTGTTTTTAATAAAAATGTATAAAATTGCGGAATATTCCGTTTTAAAATATATCACTTGTGATAACTTTACTACAAATCATAAGAACATCGATGAAAATGAAATGTATTGATAAAAAGAGTTCAACTAAACAATTGTGATAACTGTTCGCACAATTAGTTTTGAGCCCTAATCTAAAGTCAGTAAAAAAGACTAGTATTTAAGGAGACTATTAAGAGATTTGAAACACTAATAGATAGTTTGATAGACATAAACAACTGTTGAAAGGATTCATTCATTTATATGTTTTACAGATAATCAGAATTGAATCTCTCGTTAAAAGACATCAATTCGTCTTTTAAAGCATATTTTCAAATAGAGATTTAGATTATTTTCAGTTCATTTGTTTGAAGTAATATTACTTTTGGGTTAGTTTTCGTTTCTAAACCATTAAATATAGCGTTGAAATAAAGATGAAATTGTTTTCGTCTAACTTTCAAATAATAACTATATTTTCAGAATTCGAGTAAATCTTTTGAGAAAACCTTTTGAGGCATAACTTTATTCATAAAAGAAATATCAAATCAAATAGATTTTTATTGGATTTTCATCTCTTTTTATAAGATTTGATTCTATGATCTATTTTGTCAAAATTTATCGATTTTGCGTTAAGAATCAAAACTGTGTTTAAATAGTAAAATACTTGTCGAATAATATGTTTAATTAATTTTTAAAATCACATCAAAAATAAATGTTGCAATTTTTATAACAATTTATTGAAAAATTTCCTATTATTTAAAAAATACATTATTTTGATTTCTTAATAAAACAATAAACGGACAAAACATTGAATATTATTGTCTTGACTTTTTACGGAGGATTTGAAGCAATTTTAAAATCAGTATTAAACACGAGACTTGAATAGAGACCGATGTAACGAAATAAAGCATAAAAATGAAGTGAAAAATGACGTTTGTATTGAAATTCTCGTTATTATCTAGAATTTCATTTGGAAAATATTAAACTTAATTACAATTATAATCAGACAATATATTAGACATGACTTACTTATGAATACATAATAGGCACAGAATATAAGGGCAAAACTTAGCCACAAATGGTTTAGAAGAATCAGAATTATAAAATAGATTCGCTTTCCGTCTTTGAAGGCATATTGACTGCACGGACCGACCATTACATGCAAAACACAAATCGTTGCAAATATTGTTATATAATATTGGGTGTAAAACAAAGCAAAGAATCCGATGACGACAAACAGAATCCCTAAATACAAAATTAAGGCATTTTTAAAAATCAAATTTGGGGTTTAATTAACGGTTGATTTAATACCAATTAAAGATACGATTGAAGTGAATGAATACAAATAATATACCAAACGCTGAAGAGTGCTATCAAAGAGACCATTCAAGAAAATTTTGTCTAAAATACCATCTTTGGATTCAATGGGGTCTTTAGGTATAGAATTGAGTTTTGCTAATTTGTCCGGCATTTTGCAGTTTGCGATAATTTTCAAATTATACCAAATATTGCAACTAATTTAATGCATCCGCTAAACAATATAATGCCTCAAATTGATTGCGATTCGCGCACCAAAAATATTCAAAACTTTTAACAATTAATTTTCATTTTTAAAAATTAAAACATCGATTGTTGTTTAAATCAATAATTTCTAGGACTACTGTAGTCTTAGTACAAAATGTATGCTTCAAAACCATTTCCAAGAAATAATGGTATAATTATTGACATTTCAATTAAATTGACGGACAATTTGTAACCTAAAAATTTTAAAACTGTTTTCTCGAGAAAACTATTTTCATTGCTTTTTATTAATAATAAATCATTTTCTGGTATACAATCGAAATTGTGATTTATATTTCGTGAATATATTAACAATTAATTTACTTCCAGTTTATATTCTAAGACTAATTTCAATATAAATTTGTCAAAATCACCAAAACATCACTTAATGGAGAACTGTTTCCAACGAAAGACATATCGATGAAAACGTCGACAGAATGTCATATATGATACAAATTGTGGAGAAAATTGCTTTCAAACTACTTTCCACTTTTGAAACAAAACACAAATCAAAACATGTTTTTTCAAAATTAAAAATCAAAAAATCAATTTGAGATTTAAATTGTGGCGACTTTTTAATCACATCAAAGCTAATATTAAAGAAATGTCTTATAAATTATCATTTTGTTTCATATAATTTAACTTAAATTAAATTAATAAGTAATGAGTAAAAAAGTAAAGAGAGATGTATTTGGTTTAGGGATCAGTTGTGGTCAGTGTTTGCTTCAAACGTTTAACAAATTATTACAGACTTCTTATCGGTATTTTAAATCCAATGATTCTTCAGTTTCTGTTTTGTTGTCTTCAAAATTATACAATTAGTAACAATAAGTTTTCATTTTGTTAATTATGGTTATTTTTCTTCACATATTCAACATTTAATGTGCATTCAGTCTATGGTTTTACTCTAATTACATAATGATTACATTTTTATGGGCACATCATATGCTTATTTTCACAGCAAAACCCAAAATGATTTCAGTTTTTAGATTTCGCTGTCATTTTGATGTCTTTATGTATTAAATTTAATAACAAATTATTTAATCGATTTTAGTGTCAATTGTAATGAAATTTATTTTTCATCGCAAAAAAAGAAATTAAATTAAACAATAATATCAATAAAATATGTTACCAATTGTTTAGCGATGCTCTCGAAAACATAATTAAATATAATTTTCGAAATCCATTAATATTTAAATAAAACAATAAAATTACTAAATAATGAGCCAAATATTAAAATTATTTGTCATTTCATTATATATTGAAAGGTATCGAAAATGGGAATGAAGTGTAAAATTTGCCGTTTCTTTAATTAATTAGTCTTTTGTTGTTTTTTCTCTTTGTTTAACAAACTATTGGTATTTTTGTTGTTTTGTTGAATCAAATATTTTATGGTTTGGTTTTCAATCTATATTTAATAACAAAAGATGTTATAATCATAACATTGGCGTCAATTCGATCCTCAATTACTAACAATATTCAACAAATCGTGCGATTTGTCTGTTTGTATGCTTTTTAGTAATTGTTAACTAAATATAATTACATTTAATTAAATAACAATTTAAATGACATTCAATGACACCACCGAAGAAGAGAGCACTCCGGGAGAGAGTGCTGTACTCTAAGGTCTGCTTTTGTTTTTAAGCTCAAAATAAGGATTTAATAATTAAATTAAAAGACAAACAAAATTTTTCTGCTTTTCTGGAAATTAGAATTTAAAGTTATTTTAGTGTTATTTATAGTTATTTCCTCTCAATTGGTTTTTTGAGTTCAAATCTCTATAGACTGGGAAAACAAATGTCGAAATGTATGCATAAATCGTCTCTAATTTCAATTATGAAAAGTTTGAATCAAATGAGCGAAACATCAGTTCAATCGTTATTTCCTACTATTTTTGTTTGTGATAATAATCTGTTTTCCACTAAACTATCGAAGACCTCAATAATACTCATTAATATCAAGCGTTCGTATTCATTGGGTCCCAATGGTGTGGATCGTGGCTTCGGCTTCTGTTCATCACAACTGGTGCCATCACTGGCGCCACACCCGATGATATACCGCCGCCGCCGCGACCGGCACTCAGTTGTGATCCGATTGGACTGAATGACGATGAAGTAGTGGTCAGTGTTGGAGATAATGTCGACCCTATCTTTGCCTTATGGTTCAGTTCTAATTGTGATAAACGCTTCCATAGTTCGTCCCTTTCCTTCTCTTTCCGCTTCTCTCTATTCAATACAAATCAATAGTCTATTAATCCATAATAAATACAATTTACATAAACTTTTAATTAAATAGATTTCCATTTAATAATTGTTTATATATTTATCGCAAAATAAATTTGTCTTGAAATGAAGTGCAGACAAAGTGTTCACTCCAAGAGTTCATTGCTTTAAATTATCACAATAACAAAGTCCAACCAAAAACGATAAACTTTTACTATTTTTTACATAAATTATATTTTTGTTTACAAACTTTGCAAATAATAAGTGAACTAAAAATATAACAAATAAGATATTCTGTTATTTTGCATTTTTATAGTATAAAACATGAAATTATAATATTTTTTGCCTAAAATCTTTACATAAATACAACGAATCCAATTCATAACAAGTAATATTTTCTAATTAGATATAAAGCAATCAAAAGTGTGATACAAATAGCGATTAAAGTTCTTGTTTAACATAAATCATAAATACTATGTTTATATATTTGTAAAATAATTTAAATAATAAACAGAACTCTTGACAAAATTTATTGAAATGGAAAATAATGGCAAAAGTAATCAAAGATTAATAATTAAAAACACATTTAAATATTTTCATACTTTTGTCGTTCGGTTTTGTAAGAGGCGGTCAACTCGTCGAAGAGTTTGGAGTTGACTTCCATGAAGGTCTTCAACACATTATATACTAATGCAATGATAGTCTGATTCCAATGCTCTTTAGAGATGCGATACAACGCCGGGAACATAATCGGCATAATTACTGCACTGTTCTCTTCTATTAAACTCAGAATATATTCATTGTTCCAGAAATATAGCGCCCGTTCGGCCACCTGTACAGCCATTACAGCCATTGACTCATTAGGAATGGGATACAAACGGTTGAGTGCATGCGGTGTACAGTACCTGAAAGTGAGGACTCGACACACATCGGGAAATCTGTCTGAAGAGAGAGTCTTGAACTCTCACGAACTGCGAGGGTTCGATCACATCGAGAATCTCCTCAATCTCTCCCAAAAACATCACTTCTTTCTGACTACAAGTCTTTGGCCAGAATTTGAGTAAACCGTTGATCACGTGTTCAGTTAGAGTGGCGTCTTTCTCAAGAAACTGAACGACACAATACGCCAACTGTAAGCATGGATAGAGTGGTTAGTCAACAATCAATTGGTTAGTGCTGTATGGGATGGATGGATGGATCAGATGGTGACATACTTGAGCGTGATATAGACCTAAACATTTAGGCTTATGTAGAGGAATGAGAACTTTGACCAAAAACTGTTTGTGTTCTGTCTTTAAAGGCAATGCGAAACCATTTATTATACTATAAAATAACAGATAAATAAATTAGTTTTCATATCGTTGTAAACATAATAGCAGTTATAAATTGGATATAAAAATGATTGCAAATTGTAAAGAAATGGATACAAACCTCCCTAATATCTCGAGCAGTTCTCCCACACCATTGAAGTGTTCCGTTTCGTATATAAACCTCAAGAATATATTATTGATTTGCTTTCTAATGAACGCTCGAAGACCTAAAAATTTGCCGTAAATTCTATGCAAAACAGTTTTCAGGAAATCTCGTTCTCGTGGATCTTCGCTGTCAAACAATTCCAGCAACTAATCAATCGAAACAATAAGAAACACAATTAATACACATTTCAAAAACTCGACACAAAACAGAGATCAGTACCTGAAGAACAAATTTCTGGTCAATCACTTTCTTTCCGATTGTTGGCTGAAAGTCTGGCGATTCGAGGAAACGGAGAACAAACTCATAAACTAATTGCAAGTGAGGCCACGAGGCCTCCAGTGTCGGGTCGTCCTCTTCGGGATCAAAGTCTGGGTTTTCACTCGGAGGTAATGTTCGAAATAAATTGCAGGATATCTACCATTCAGTCACACAAAGGATAGACAATTGTCATGTTAGACACAAACTTAATCAATACTCATTTAATAATAATACTATCAAAACAATTACGTTAAGTGTTTATATATAAAAATACTCTATATTTGCATCAATTGTTATAAAAGTAAATAAAAAACTGTGTTTACAATTAAAGCAATAAAAACGGTAAAATATAATGAGTGTCAATGCATACCATTCTAATAATCTCGGGATAAGTTGGTTCAGAAAGCACTCCCCGACCGGCACTGATATAATCGACTAATTCATTGAGTGTCGCTCTTTTGATCTCTTTTCCCTTCAGATCAGAGACCGGATCCATGAAATCGAAAGCAATACAACACTGCCTTAATTTGCGTATAAATAGGCCCTCCTGTTCACCACTCGCCACATCTGTGTCCACAACAAATCAATTAATACAATGAGAAACAAAACAATGAGATGATAGGGACATACCTTTGAGGAGCGGTAACGGCTGTAACTCGACCTCAGAGGTGAGCCGATATCTGGACGATCCCTGAGATTTCTTTTGCTTTCTCTTAAGCGACCCCTTTTTGAACGGATCTATTTTGTCGACAAAAGCTGTCGGCGCTTGAAGTGAATGTGAAGTCATCTCTCAATTGATTTATTATTTACACACAAAAAATTCAAAAACAAAAAACACTTTTCACTAAAATATCTTCACAGAAGTTAAGCACAAATTAAATTAATTACAAATAACTGTTTGGACACAAAAAGGACATAAAATTTGTTTCTTTATATTAAAAATAATAATTAAATAAATTGTAAATTAATTTATAAATCTCTAGTTAAGAGTTGGCCCTAATTTGGAGCGCATTTCCCAATAAAACACAAAACAAAAAATAAACAAATATTTGAATTTTCAATATTTTGGATCAGTTTTCATGATTATTGACGACTTCTTTGAGGAAATATAAGAACTGAAACACAAAACACGACTCAAAATGAAGACAAACTAAACGCCAAAACAATTATTACGAGTTGTATATAAATAATAAGAAACACTGAAATTATTATTATTAATGACTTTGGCTTTTGATTGCGATTACGAAACAAAATCACGTTTTAAATCATCGCTCATTCAGTTGTCTTCAAAATGTCAATCGTTTGGACGACAAGTATCTGAAAAATACAATAATAAACATAACATTATTAAAGGCAATGGAAAATACAAATCAATTATATTTATCGTCAAAATGTGTTGAAAAACGAGTCAATGTATTGAATGAATACATATTTGAGACAAATTCACATAAATCTTGACATCAATTGATATGAAATGTTTACTTAATTTCCCAAATAATAGGCAAAAAACATTTGTTTACATTATATTAGTCTTACAATAAATGTACCAAAAATTTGTTCATTTGTTTAAAATATCATTATTAGGACTGAAAATAATTTTGTTATAAAAATGCATTTCATTTAATGGTATTTTGATTATCAATACATTTGTGGCGAGAAATAAGATAAAAATGATTACAAATAATAAAAAACCAAATTATAATTAATACTCATTTATTACACGAATAGGAGATTGAAATGCATTATAAATGACACTAAATATGACATCAAAGACACAAATGGCATCAATTGTGAGCACAGAATCGGGAGATATATCTTAAGAAGTGGTGCATATGAAGAGCAAATGTCAACAAATTGACAATTAATGGCATTTACTATAAATGCATTAATTATGGCAACATTTGTGTTACAATCAATCGATAGCTAATTAAATACAACATAAACACAAAAAGTGGTGATATTTTGGGCTAACTTTTGACTAACAAATGCTCGACTCATTGAAAATTTCGTAAAATTGAAAATCATTACCGAAAGTCATAATAAGTAAACAAGTGTTGAATGAGAGGACAGTAAACATGGAATTCAATCGATTCTTGTGTTGGGATGAGTCTCGCGAAGAGTGGGGCCGACACTCGCGACACACGGCTAGAGTGTCCGCACAATGGCTTGTGATGTGCTCTTCTATGGCCAATGAGTGGCCAATCGGGATGTGATGGACGAGAATTTGTATACACTTTGCACTCACTCTCACCTCAAACCCTATTATCGGTTCGCAAAAGCATTCAATAATGCCATTCAATGCTATCAATGCTATGCTATTTTGTATGTCGTTTCCAATGCATTAATGCATTATTACATTCACTCCTAATGTTTAGCAACAAAATTGGGATACAGTTTGACAGACATTTTGCTTTCCAACTCTCAATACA